GCGCGCGAACAGGACACTCCCAACCCACATGAGCCTATGGCAGAGGTTGCAGGCCCGTGCCTAGATAGTTGTCGAGAGACCGCCTGTGTAAGCGTCTCTTTAGGCACGTCCCTCACAGGTGTGGCAGAAGAATTAAAGGAGAGGATGCCAGCCTGGGCCAAAATGAAGAAGGAGAGTAAAGGACGACTGATTTTGGTAGATGTAGAGGTGTTTAGGAGTAGGGTAGGGGCCCTTATAGACTCAGTGGCTACCCATAGTTATATCAGTCGTAGGGTGTTGAAGAAGCTAAGGCTAGGACTAAAGGTCCAAAAGTTAATAGACCCTATAGTTAGTGTCCTCGCAGACAACCGCACAATGCGCGTTGAGGACTATGTAGAGGGAGTTCAGGCGTACTTTCGCCTAAAAAGGATGGGAAGGTGGAGAAAGTTCTCCATTCCCTGACTCTCCTCGTACAAGATGACCTTCCTTTCGATGTAGTGTTAGGAATGGATTGGGGAGAGGTAGCGGGGGCCACACTCCATCTGAGAGAGCATGAGTGTAGGCTCCCTGGTCCGTCAGGCGAAGTGAAGACTGCTCGCCTGTTCCATGTGTCTGGTGTAGATAACACCTTGGGGCATTGCTGTCTCAGTGCTCCCGCGTTCGCGCGATTAGTAAGAAAGGAGCAGTTAGAGGAACAGGTCTTTGTGGTGTATGTTAGACCTGTCACTGAGGGCCAGAAGAAGGATAACTCCACAGACCCTACAATTGCCAAGCTGCTGGAGGAGTTCGAAGATTTGACTGAGTCGCCGACAGTAGTGCCGCGACCCATCCAGCATAGGATAGAGATAGAGCCTGGCAGTAGAACACCTAAGGGTGCAGTCTACAGGATGTCCCCTAGAGAGTTAGAGGAGCTTCGCAAACAGTTAGATGAACTCCTTGAGAAAGGGTGGATCAGGCCCAGTTCGTCTCCTTTTGGGGCACCTGTTTTGTTTGTCCCCAAGAAGGAAGGAGAGCTGAGAATGTGTATAGACTATAGGGGATTAAATGCGATCACCGTGAAGAATGCTAAGCCGCCGCCCAAGATAGACGATCTTTTAGATCGGGTGCAGGGTTGTAAGTATTTCTCTAAGATAGACTTAAAGTCCGGATACCATCAGATAGAGGTTCATCCTGATGATCAGTACAAGACTRCGTTCYGKACTASATATGGGCATTATGAGTTTATAGTGATGCCCTTTGGACTAACCAACGCGCCAGCTACTTTTCAGCGTTGTATGAATGACCTGTTTAGACCATGGTTAGATAAATTTGTAGTAGTCTACTTAGATGATATCCTAGTCTTTAGTAAGACCCTCCAGGAGCACCAGGATCATCTGAGGCAGGTCTTGGAGAAGCTTAGAGAGGCTAACTTCAAGATCAGTGCGAAGAAGTGCGAGTGGGCCAAGACGCAAGTCTTGTACTTGGGCCACGTGTTGGACGGAGATGGCATTAAGCCAGAGGACAGCAAGATAGCGGTGATTAGAGATTGGCCGACGCCCCGCACGTTGACAGAGTTGCGGTCGTTCCTAGGCCTAACTAACTACTACAAAAAGTTTGTGAGGAACTTCTCCACTATCGCTGCTCCTTTGCGCAGGTTGTTGAAGAAAGAGACAATCTGGCAATGGGATAAAGACTGTACGTCTGCGCTAAAAGAGTTAGAGCGCGCGTTTATAGAATATCCTGTCCTCAAAGTAGCGGATCCGTCCTTGCCATTTGTCGTTACCACGGACGCAAGTCAGTATGGGATAGGCGTCGTGTTGCAGCAAGACGACGGCAATGGCTATAGATCCGTAGAGTTCATGTCAGCGAGGATGCCCTGTGAGAAGGTCGCTACCTCCACGTACGAGAGAGAACTCTACGCTCTCAGGCAGGCTTTAGACCATTGGAAGCACTATCTGCTTGGGAGGCACTTCAAAGTGTATTCTGACCATGAGAC